TACATAAAATATGTTTAAAAAGTAGCACTTAGAAAATAAGTAATTGAAAATAAGTAAAAAATCATTAGTAATTTATAAAAAAAATATTTGACGAGTAATATTATGAAAATAAGGTATAGATGCATAACATGTAAAATATTTCCCTTGATCTTTTTAAATCCAATATTAGATAATTAATTACAATAAATTTAACGTTATGTACTGAAATACACACACAGTAATAGTAGTACACAGTAAATTTCGAAATATATTCATAAAAGTTTCTTCAAACGATTAATAACAATTGCAACATGTTAGTAAATACAAAATAATTTAAAGAACACCAGTAGAGATGAAAAAATAGCTCTATTGACAATAAAATCACTTGAAATACACTAAACCATGCTGATAGGTTATTGCACTACGTGTGTGTACATACGTGTTCGTATAGTTACCCAGTAAGATCATAGATAACAAATTATTTGTATAGTTTAGAAAAATACGTGCGTCAAGTCATTGGAATATTAAAATATCTCAGCCAGAATTTGATGAAATTAGAGAGTAGATTCGAAATGAGCGTACCTGAGCCGATAAAAAATACGTACACGTATAGCGATTTTTATAGCAAAATTTCAGTACGGTCTTAGAGATTGATTTTGCGAAAAAAATGTATCGAAGAAAATATTATGCGTAGACATAATCTACTCACCTTGACTGTTGGTTTGTCCTTTCATCCGCTGCATTCCGTTGCATGGAAAAATATACAAAATTTAGAATGGCTGTCTTCAGTGAAAGGTATCTGCAGAATAGCGGTGTGGTAGCAAGTCAACACACTGACCTGATTTGAAACAGCACCTGCCAATCCAGTTGACATAACCTGTCACACACTCTGTCTGCCCTTTACAGACGCCAAAGAGACGCCTGTACCTTAACAAAATCAAGTTTTCAAAAGCAATACCACGATTACATACAACAGCGTTATACCACTCAAGTACGCGAACACTTCTTCCGAGGAGAAGTCCTCAAGTTTGAATCCGCAATACCTGAGACCTCCGCGTATTTTCTCGCAATGTCTTACCGCGAGAGAGTCTCAGGAAATCTTTCTTGTTACACTTCGGGATTGATAAATTTTCACAAAATTCTTAACTCCGAATAATAACTACGTGACGTGCACTGACCTCTCGTATGTATTAACAGATTGTCTAACTTACCCGACGATAAAATCCCTATACGAAATTCCCTCCACGACATCGCGTTTGGTATCCGTGCGAAGATGGCTCACGATAGTAACCGATATTAATGAACATAGCACAAAAAAATGTTCTTTGATTGCTCATAATTGCTTACCAATTAGTTTTAATTGTTAACTTTTTTTTTTGAGAAATATCAAAAAAGATTTTCTGAGACGCTCAGGAATTTTTATGAGAAATTTGTGACTTTTAATAATACATAATTTCTGAAATAATGTATAAAACATGCTGTATGACTTTGCTTTTTGCTTTATAATTAATTGCTCAGCTTTCCACGTGCGACAATTTCGTTAATAAGCAATAAGTTTTATAAATAAATGTGGAATAGGAAAATCAGGAAAAATGGAATAGGAGCTTGTGCTATTCACGGTTGCCAATATGGAGAACATATTTTAATTCGCAAAAATAATAAAAGAATTGTTCTAACTCAATATGCGATGACTTATAGAATTGCTCTTTAATTGTCCATTATTGATTTATAATTGTCTTTAATTGCTCCATCGTAATTAATATGAAATTTATGAAATAATGCATAAAACATGCTATACAAGCACGTTATCAAAGAATGGCACTTCAATCGGCGGCCTATCTTTTGCATACTCTGTAGCAATATACTTATCAGAAACTTTTTCATATCAGTTGGAAAATGGTATTTTGTGCGATTTTAAGTTATCATAAAATTTTTTTTTACCAGATAAGTTGGTAAAACTATCTCTATTAAAATTGATCAATTTTTCGTTTGCTTTTTCTACACCTTCGTCTATACCAGGGCTCGGGATGACAGAAACAGAACATTTTTGGAGACTGTTATGAAATATGCTGCAGGAAAGATCCTACAAATGGGATTGGATAATGCCACTCTGCAGCACATTTCAGAGCAGTCTCCGAACATGCTCTGTTTTTGTCATGTGCGGTTAATTGCGAGCCCTGGCCTATAAACTCCCTTCTTTATATTATTATTTTTGCATCTTTATTCAAACAATCAGAGTTAAAGGAAAGCTTAGATATTTCATCTTTTGTATAGTTTAGATCTCTTTATAAAGAACTGCAACAGAGCTTTAAATTTTAAATATCCTACAGCTTCAGCAGGAACGAAAACGCGACGCCATTCATAGTAACTATACCTGTAACAGTCATAAATTTTTGACTAGGAAAATTTAAAAAATTATTACTTTCAAAGTAATATATTTATATAGAAAGAAAAGACTTATGAACTGTAATCAAATGCTGGATCATTATAGCCGTTTTCTGGCAGCTAGGTAAAATATCGAATTTAATAATATTTCTATTATCACCATGCTTTACGCGCTCTCTCTAAAATCGTTTTTAATATTTTTTTGGGAGTTTCTGTGGAACCAACACTTACACCAATTAGAATTAAGAACCATTCAAGAACCATATCCAAAGGCAACAAGGTTCTTGAATTGAGAGTATGCAGCGAATTACTATGCTCTGATTGGCTGACGATTCACAGCTGAACAGTGCTGCCTTCATAGTTAGTGACAAAGAGAAGAAATAGTGAATGAACAAGACAGCACGACATCAACACAACCATATCCGAGGCGAATCATACCGACACCAATCCACTTTGTCTCACTTTACTGTGCTTGCGGTTTCACTCTTTTCACGTATCCGTACGCTTAGCGCTCCCTGTCTTACCAGTTCAATAAATGATACAAAGTCTCATATAAGTGTGAAGACACTTCTCGTTACTTCTTGTTATGGTGTACCAACTGTATTTGTTTTCAAATCTCTTGAGCTTCAAGAGCTGTCTGTTATAGTGACTAAAATTTTATTTTATCATACTTACTTTGATTAGTGATACACTTTTAAAATCATTTTGTTCCGACCTATCCGAATTTTGTTCTTATCCCGTTCTACCAGATATGCTACTGAGGTTAAGAACTTCGATTGGTAATTTCATTTTCTTCATCAATATTCTGCTCATCTAAAAAAGCAGAAAGAGCTTTCTTAACTTTTTCTACTTCTTAATATATAGTATGTTAAATATCGTATTCGGTGAGTAGTTTTCGATAAGATTATATAAATAATCTGTTTTATTTCCTGTCTTATCCTCAGTTAAGAAATGATTTAAATAATTTTCTTCATTAAAACAAGATTTATGGAAATTTCTTAAAATAGAAGCAGCATTACTTCCTGCCATGAATAATATATTAAATAAATTGCTCGGCATAAAACCTGCTTTATGAAAATCATTTAAAAGCTGTGTTTTATTTCCTTTCTCATCAAAACAAATATCACGAAAATCTTTTAAAGCAGAACAAATCTTAGTTGCTGCTCCATGCAATATCTTAGATAAGTTTTTTGGTGTAAAACCTTCTTTTTCAAGTAAGGAATGATCCAAATATTTTTTTGTTTCTTCTGTAAAACAAAAATCATGAAACTCTTTTAAACTACATGCTGCTACACACAACATACCACATAAATCATACGACCTAAAACCCGCATTATAGAAATCTTGTGAAAACTATGGTTTTTTCCTTTCCTCATTAAAATAAATATTATGTAATCTCTTCAAAGTTAAAGAAGCACGAGCTCCTGATCCACATAGTATAGAGGATAAGTTACTTGGCCTGATAAGTTACTGGAACTACTATAGCTGAAGAAGAAAATAGTGAATAAATTCTGAATCTAAACTATATGATACCGAAATTATATTAACTAATACTAAATGATATAAGAATATCAATGAAAGCAGTGAAGATTTTTATAATATGGAAAAACACCAATTGATATACAAAAACAACGAAGAAGCTTTAAAGAATATCACTAGAAACTGCTGCTATGTAAGAGTTTTTGCCTTCTATTGAAATTATAATATGTAAAAGGTCAAACACTACAGTAATCCCTACCGTCTAACCACTAAATCCTGACCGTTGGAATTTCCACTCAAGGCCAGTGTGTATTGGTGTCTAGTGTGTCCAATGGTGTTAGGAATTCTACTCAAAATCTGCTCCAAATGGCGAAGATGAGAGCTTACAAATGTGATTGGATGATTCCAATGGATTGCCAATGGAAATTCATCGGCATCATCCAATCCCATTCTTGTGATGGGTAATTCTCCAACTCCTACTTTCCAGGGAGGAAGTCATAAAGTGGTCAGGAGGATTACCACTGACCCTGATCAACTCTGACCAGGGACAGTCGGGTTCTTGATTGTAGGGAATTAGGGAAAGATGAGAAACTGCTTTGCTCCGATTGGCTGACAATTCACTGATGGAGCCAGATTCACTTCGGAGTAGATGCGTAAAAATGATGAGAATACAGATGCTTGTTTAGAGAACAAAAAAAAAATGCACAGGAGTTGGAACTGGTACTGTATTTGATGAGACAGTGAGACAGAATGCACATACACAATTTCTCCTGTGTAATAATTTTTATTACTACTTTTGAAAATAATCATCAAATGACAATCTTCCTTACTTGTGTATACTAATGTAATTACTTGCCGGCAATATTCTCTAGTTTCTTACTATTTCAACAATTAAAACTAGAGAATCATTATAAATACATATATGGTTTGCGAAGAAGATTCACTATACATAGAATTCGTGTTAAAATATGATGAGCAAGAAGAACGAGATTGTAAATAAAAAATTAAAACTTATATAAATTATGTAATCTAACAAAAAATAGTTTTCTGA